AGGAGCTGTAGAAGGGCATCGATCAGGCTGAAGTGATGCCACAAAGTCACCAGAGCATTCCCTGCAAAGGCCTGACGGTCCCTGGACCTGGCCGGAAGATCTACGTCTGGTCTCCCCCAATTGTGGCAAAACGTTTGGAACCCCTCCGGGTGGGGAGACCATTCCCCTGGATCCAGGCACTGATGACCAGCCAATTCTCCATGCCTAAAATCTGGACGGCTGATGGAGCCAGAATCACATCTACTTCTCTTTCAGTGACACGAACCTTCCATGTCACTGGGGGAAAGGATTTCCTTGACTCCAGAACCGGGCTGAAAATCCACCACATCAGAGGGAGTCTGACCTTGCTGGAGAGACGCATGAGCCAGTCTAGAGACCAAGTCTGTTTGTCTGAAGGAGCCGGAATGTCGAGGTGTCTGAAGGAGCCGGAATGTCGAGGTGTCTGAAGGAGCCGGAATGTCGAGGTGTCTGAAGGAGCCGGAATGTTGAGGTGTCTGAAGGAGCCGGAATGTTGAGGTGTCTGAAGGAGCCGGAATGTCGAGGTGTCTGAAGGAGCCGGAATGTCGAGGTGTCTGAAGGAGCCGGAATGTCGAGGTGTCTGAAGGAGCCGGAATGTCGAGGTGTCTGAAGGAGCCGGAATGTCGAGGTGTCTGAAGGAGCCGGAATGTCGAGGTGTCTGAAGGAGCCGGAATGTCGAGGTGTCTGAAGGAGCCGGAATGTCGAGGTGTCTGAAGGAGCCGGAATGTCGAGGTGTCTGAAGGAGCCGGAATGTCGAGGTGTCTGAAGGAGCCGGAATGTCGAGGTGTCTGAAGGAGCCGGAATGTCGAGGTGTCTGAAGGAGCCGGAATGTCGAGGTGTCTGAAGGAGCCGGAATGTCGAGGTGTCTGAAGGAGCCGGAATGTCGAGGTGTCTGAAGGAGCCGGAATGTCGAGGTGTCTGAAGGAGCCGGAATGTCGAGGTGTCTGAAGGAGCCGGAATGTCGAGGTGTCTGAAGGAGCCGGAATGTCGAGGTGTCTGAAGGAGCCGGAATGTCGAGGTGTCTGAAGGAGCCGGAATGTCGAGGTGTCTGAAGGAGCCGGAATGTCGAGGTGTCTGAAGGAGCCGGAATGTCGAGGTGTCTGAAGGAGCCGGAATGTCGAGGTGTCTGAAGGAGCCGGAATGTCGAGGTGTCTGAAGGAGCCGGAATGTCGAGGTGTCTGAAGGAGCCGGAATGTCGAGGTGTCTGAAGGAGCCGGAATGTCGAGGTGTCTGAAGGAGCCGGAATGTCGAGGTGTCTGAAGGAGCCGGAATGTCGAGGTGTCTGAAGGAGCCGGAATGTCGAGGTGTCTGAAGGAGCCGGAATGTCGAGGTGTCTGAAGGAGCCGGAATGTCGAGGTGTCTGAAGGAGCCGGAATGTCGAGGTGTCTGAAGGAGCCGGAATGTCGAGGTGTCTGAAGGAGCCGGAATGTCGAGGTGTCTGAAGGAGCCGGAATGTCGAGGTGTCTGAAGGAGCCGGAATGTCGAGGTGTCTGAAGGAGCCGGAATGTCGAGGTGTCTGAAGGAGCCGGAATGTTGAGGTGTCTGAAGGAGCCGGAATGTTGAGGTGTCTGAAGGAGCCGGAATGTCGAGGTGTCTGAAGGAGCCGGAATGTTGAGGTGTCTGAAGTGAAATGAGAGAATGAGGATCCATCTGAAGCTTTGTATAGTCTGCACTATCCATTGGACGTTGGTTGACAGGGTGGAATGGAGAGTGTCCAGGTATCCAACAACATGGACAGGCCAAGAGGAAGGGCAAGGAACTGGTAATGCTGAGAGCCCACAGCAAAGCTCAGATAGGGTTGATGAGGTGGGGATGAGGATGAGGTTGGTGGGGATGAGGATGTGTAAGCATCCCTGATGTCCACAGAGGTGAAGCATATCCGCTAATCCCTCAGTGTAGTCATGTGAAGCTACAGGCAAGAGCTCTAGGTGATTGGCAGATGGAGCCCTTAAAATAGAGCCAGGATCTTGGGCCATGCACTCAGACTGCCATGGAAGCTGCAGCAGGTTGAACGGTGGAACCAATTGGGGCAAACAAGGCCTTAAAGAGGACTTCTAACTTCATGTCCACCGGGTCACTGAAAACAGGAACTACCTCAACAGGAACCGGTAACGTTTTGTTAAGTCAAGATCAGACGGCTTCAAAAAACAGGGACAGCCCACTTCATAAGGAAGACTTCCCCAATAGGATATTGCTGGGCAAAGCATTTTAGGAGGGTCAACTTTTTTTTCAGGGTGATTCACTGTTCAAAACAGGCCGTAAGAGCCAGGTAAGGTGTCACCAGGTTCGGACCGGGGCGGTCCACCACACGTAGCTCTAAGCGAAGGCAAGTACAAGAATTGTCACAATAGCATCCAAGAGCATGTGAGGGATTTCAGCAGATAAAGCCTCTTCCTTATCTGACCTCCCAGAGGAGCAATTATCCTCTTCCCCCCTCCACAGGAAGCACGGCAGCCATGAGCAGTGGGGGACTGATTGGGCCCACTTGTGACCTCTGTGCACCATCTGCGGCCTCCATAAGGGATACGAACCTTCCCATAAGGTAAGTTATGGGGACAGAAAATTCCTCTCTGGATAGGTAGAAGGAAGGGTGCGCATCGGAGGGTGCAACAGGTGGACGGACGGGACTGAAGGGTGCAGGGGCTATTGGGGTGACACTAGCCCCCTCCTGAGCTGATAGAGAAATGCTGAGCCAGCGCTCCCCCATAGGTCTGCGACATGCATAGAAAGTGATGCAGCCACTGCTCCCCAGGGGACTGAAGCCCAGCAAAGGACTGTTAGCCCAGATTCACTGCAGCAGGATGTTAGGAACAAGCCCCATCTTGGTTCACCTCCCACTGGGCATCCCCTTGAGGGGGTCAGGGCTCCATTGGCTGATGGACCACGGCCCTGTATAGCATCCTGCGGCTACCGCACCAGATTGGCAAGGAGAGCACCCCACGCAGGATCCTGCACCTAAAGCAACATTACAGGCTGACCTCATTTCTTCCTCCGGGTGAAGTTGTTGGAAGCTAAAATAATTGACATCTATGACACATCTTTGATGGAAAGGTTCCTTAATATCGTGAGCTGCCCGTGCTGTTTGATATGCAAATGAAGACCATCAAAGGGTTCCTGGGGCTGGACACTGATCAAAGGAGATCTGCTGGACTGTCATGTCCTGGGGCAAGCCCGACCCCTGCTGGTATTTACTGCCCACACCTGTGTCAGCAAGGCATATATGCTGGGATGGGGGCGGGGCATATGATGGAACCTTCTTCCTGTGTGACACTAACCTAGCTGACAAGCAAGACCTTTGGACAAGACAAGTCTTTCTGAACTCTGCAATCAAGAATGTGATTCGCTGAGACCTGCTGGAGAGGCGTGTCCGAAGAACAGAGAAAAACCCATGGCTTGTGTGACTGAGAGAGAGAGAGAGAGAGAGAATGGTGTAGCTAGCTGTAGGATCCTTACCCTCAATTCCGATCCCCAATTCCCCTTTCAAATTCCCTTAATTGTAATATGTATGTGTATCCCCATTTGTAAATAAACCCAACAATTATTTAAGATTCAGTTGTTCATCAGTAATTTAAGGCACCCCCAAATCAGAGCACATTCTACAGAAGTCTGGGCACGGTCCTCATAGGCTAAGCCAAAGAGTCAACCGATCTGGGGAGCTGCAACAATCGGAGGCTTGCTGGAAGTGGGAGGGATTAAGTGACGATAGCAGCATATAACCCATGATTGAGACTACACATCCCGTGTCCTGTACATCCACCTCCTGCCAGGAGGAATGAGAGGCCCATGTCAGCAGGAATGAGGAGGACATTGGAGGATTGATTAGCAGCGAGTCCTCCTCAGGCCTCCACCATGGACACATCCCTAAATTCAATGATGAAGTAAACTATTTCCTGTCCGTTGTCAGGGAGTTCTCGGAGTTTCCTCAAATAATATCCGAAGCCGACAACTCCGGACAGACAGAAGAACAGTCACTACAAAGTAATGAACGTAGACAATCTGCGACCAGGGACCAGGCTGGGCCATGTCCTTAGGTTGTGAGCTCCTTGAGGGCGGGGACTGATGTGAATGTGCGTTATGTAAAGTGCTGCGTAAACTGTCGGCGCTCTATAAATAATAAATCCATTTCCACCATTCAATTGTCTTCAGAAGACCTTAGACACGGGAACACCTGAGGCATTGGAAGGCAGCGGGTGGGAGGACCCATCCATCAATCTTTCAGAGGATACCTTTGGCCTGAGGTGATTGGAGTTGGGCCTTCTAGAACACACGATGAATGGACGGACTTTTCCTGCAGAAGAACGTTTTATTTTTAGGACAGAGACGTTGTACAAACATAGGACTTGGGTTGTCTACGTTTAGGTATCATTGCCACCGAATACGTCCACATTGTGCAGATAAAAATACAGAAAATATTATTGAATGGCAGCCAAACATTTATCAATATACCGAAAGTCTAAATCAACCTAAAAGGTCCCTTAACAGGACCACAGGAGGGGCCACGTCTGACCTTCTCCATGGTCTCACTTTCTAAATATTGGATTCAATGATATGGCTTTATGAAGGGGTGTCCATGAACATCCTGTGTGCCCCTCCGACTCCCAAATCTCATGATCCCATTTCATCCAATCTACCCCCCTCCCCACCCCCCACATGCTGCAACCAGACCAGAATCTTACCACTTTGAGTTCCGGCACCGAGCGGCTCAGAGTCCATTCCTGGCTGTTCACAAAGGAATCTGAAAGACAAAAAGATTTGTTATATGTAAGAGACCATCAGCGGCGTCCTGGAGACCCCAATATAACCCTATCAAGACCAGGAGCTGTCCCGGGAGACCCCAATATAACCCTATCAAAGCCTGGAGCTGTCCCTGGAGACCGCAATACAACCCTATCAAAGCCAGGAGCTGTCCCTGGAGACCCCAATACAACCCTATCAAAGCCTGGAGCTGTCCCTGGAGACCGCAATACAACCCTATCAAAGCCAGGAGCTGTCCCTGGAGACCCCAATACAACCCTATCAAAGCCTGGAGCTGTCCCTGGAGACCGCAATACAACCCTATCAAAGCCAGGAGCTGTCCCTGGAGACCCCAATACAACCCTATCAAAGCCTGGAGCTGTCCCTGGAGACCGCAATACAACCCTATCAAAGCCAGGAGCTGTCCCTGGAGACCCCAATACAACCCTATCAAAGCCTGGAGCTGTCCCTGGAGACCGCAATACAACCCTATCAAAGCCAGGAGCTGTCCCTGGAGACCCCAATACAACCCTATCAAAGCCTGGAGCTGTCCCTGGAGACCGCAATACAACCCTATCAAAGCCAGGAGCTGTCCCTGGAGACCCCAATACAACCCTATCAAAGCCTGGAGCTGTCCCTGGAGACCGCAATACAACCCTATCAAAGCCAGGAGCTGTCCCTGGAGACCCCAATACAACCCTATCAAAGCCTGGAGCTGTCCCTGGAGACCGCAATACAACCCTATCAAAGCCAGGAGCTGTCCCTGGAGACCCCAATACAACCCTATCAAAGCCTGGAGCTGTCCCTGGAGACCGCAATACAACCCTATCAAAGCCAGGAGCTGTCCCTGGAGACCCCAATACAACCCTATCAAAGCCTGGAGCTGTCCCTGGAGACCGCAATACAACCCTATCAAAGCCAGGAGCTGTCCCTGGAGACCCCAATACAACCCTATCAAAGCCTGGAGCTGTCCCTGGAGACCGCAATACAACCCTATCAAAGCCAGGAGCTGTCCCTGGAGACCCCAATACAACCCTATCAAAGCCTGGAGCTGTCCCTGGAGACCGCAATACAACCCTATCAAAGCCAGGAGCTGTCCCTGGAGACCCCAATACAACCCTATCAAAGCCTGGAGCTGTCCCTGGAGACCGCAATACAACCCTATCAAAGCCAGGAGCTGTCCCTGGAGACCCCAATACAACCCTATCAAAGCCTGGAGCTGTCCCTGGAGACCGCAATACAACCCTATCAAAGCCAGGAGCTGTCCCTGGAGACCCCAATACAACCCTATCAAAGCCTGGAGCTGTCCCTGGAGACCGCAATACAACCCTATCAAAGCCAGGAGCTGTCCCTGGAGACCCCAATACAACCCTATCAAAGCCTGGAGCTGTCCCTGGAGACCGCAATACAACCCTATCAAAGCCAGGAGCTGTCCCTGGAGACCCCAATACAACCCTATCAAAGCCTGGAGCTGTCCCTGGAGACCGCAATACAACCCTATCAAAGCCAGGAGCTGTCCCTGGAGACCCCAATACAACCCTATCAAAGCCTGGAGCTGTCCCTGGAGACCGCAATACAACCCTATCAAAGCCAGGAGCTGTCCCTGGAGACCCCAATACAACCCTATCAAAGCCTGGAGCTGTCCCTGGAGACCGCAATACAACCCTATCAAAGCCAGGAGCTGTCCCTGGAGACCCCAATACAACCCTATCAAAGCCTGGAGCTGTCCCTGGAGACCGCAATACAACCCTATCAAAGCCAGGAGCTGTCCCTGGAGACCCCAATACAACCCTATCAAAGCCTGGAGCTGTCCCTGGAGACCGCAATACAACCCTATCAAAGCCAGGAGCTGTCCCTGGAGACCCCAATACAACCCTATCAAAGCCTGGAGCTGTCCCTGGAGACCGCAATACAACCCTATCAAAGCCAGGAGCTGTCCCTGGAGACCCCAATACAACCCTATCAAAGCCTGGAGCTGTCCCTGGAGACCGCAATACAACCCTATCAAAGCCAGGAGCTGTCCCTGGAGACCCCAATATAACCCTATCAAGGCCAGGAGCTGTCCCTGGAGACCCCAATACAACCATATCAAAGCCTGGAGCTGTCCCTGGAGACCCCAATATAACCCTATCAAGACCAGGAGCTGTCCCTGGAGACCCCAATATAACCCTATCTAGACCAGGAGCTGTCCCTGGAGACCCCAATATAACCCTATCAAAGCCTGGAGCTGTCCCTGGAGACCCCAATACAACCCTATCAAAGCCTGGAGCTGTCCCTGGAGACCCCAATATAACCCTATCAAGACCAGGAGCTGTCCCTGGAGACCCCAATATAACCCTATCTAGACCAGGAGCTGTCCCTGGAGACCCCAATATAACCCTATCAAAGCCTGGAGCTGTCCCTGGAGACCCCAATACAACCCCATCAAGACCAGAAGCTGTCCCTGGAGACCCCAATATAACCCTATCTAGACCCGGAGCTGTCCCTGGAGACCCCAATACAACCCTATCAAGACCAGGAGCTGTCCCGGGAGACCCCAATATAACCCTATAAAAGCCTGGAGCTGTCCCTGGAGACCCCAATACAACCCTATCAAAGCCTGGAGCTGTCCCTGGAGACTTCAATACAACCCTATCAAAGCCAGGAGCTGTCCCTGGAGACCCCAATACAACCCTATCAAAGCCAGGAGCTGTCCCTGGAGACCCCAATACAACCTGAACAATCCCCGGAGCCGTCTCTGTTGTGCATTTCCTCAGTCATCATGGCTTTCTAGGCCCCTGTAGGCGAGTCCCCCATCCTGCTGGTACTGGAAGACCACCCTTACTTCCTGTTCATCCTCTCCGGCCCCCTCCACTCTCTTTATCTTTGTGTAGAATGGTAAATTGTTGTGTTTCTAGAGACTCCTGAACTCGACTTACCTCAGGAAAGTGTCACCATCTACATCCTCACCAGCCAACCAGTCAGGTCAGAAAGAAGGGACCTGCCATTGTTAAGGCAATCAGAGGTCACCTGTAACACTGACCTGACAAACCTGTCTCCCAGCTCCTGAGTGTGCAGTGTGTCATCTCAGGCCACGGACACGCATGACCGGTCCTAACACTGCCACCGAGGACTTGTATGTAAAATGAAATAAGAGGTAACAAAAACTGTTCATTAAACATATTTATAAAGTAGACATTCCGGTTACTTCATCACCCCGTTATGACAGGTTCTCTTCAAACCCTCACTGAGCTGTGAGAAGGTGCAAGGAAGGAGAAGCCGATTCTTCTCACTGACTGACGAGGGCCTTGACTCTATGGTATATGTCAGCACTATATAAACAGGCATGTCACACAACGTCCGCCCCGTGTGCTGGGAGCATGTGGGAAGGGATCATACAACCCACATACATGGTGCGGGGTCAGTCCTAGACGATGATCATTTCACCTCCAACATACAGACACCTGACAAGTGGAAGGATGGACGGCGGCCTACTACATGACAGTCATGGTGCTGTATGAACCTCCAGCAACCAACCAGCAGGTAGCGGTGACCAGGTAGAGGAGACCAGGTAGATGTCACCAGATAGAGGAGACCAGGAAGATGTCACCAGGAAGATGTCACCAGGAAGATGTCACCAGGTAGAGGAGACCAGGTAGATGTCACCAGATAGATGTCACCAGGTAGATGTCACCAGGTAGATGTCACCAGGAAGAGGAGACCAGGAAGAGGAGACCAGGAAGAGGAGACCAGGAAGATGTCGCAAGGTAGAGGAGACCAGGTAGATGTCACAAGGTAGAGGAGACCAGGTAGAGGACACCAGGTAGAGGTCACCAGGTAGAGGACACCAGATAGATGAGAGCAGGTAAATGTCACCAGGTAGGTGGCACCGGGTAGAGGTGACGAGGTAGATGCCACCAGATAGATGAGACCAGGTAGATGAGAGCAGGTAGATGTCACCAGGTAGATTACACCAGATAGATGAGACCAGGTACAGGAGACCAGGTAGAGGACACCAGGTAGAGGACACCAGGTAGAGGACACCAGGTAGATGAGACCAGGTAGGTGGCACCAGGTACAGGAGACCAGGTAGAGGACACCAGGTAGAGGAGACCAGGTAGATGTCACAAGGTAGAGGAGACCAGGTAGAGGTGACCAGAAAAAGGGGAGCAGGTAAATGTCACCAGGTAGAGGTCACCAGGTAGAGGACACCAGGTAGAGGACACCAGGTAGAGGACACCAGGTAGATGAGACCAGGTAGATGAGACCAGGTAGGTGACACCAGGTACAGGAGACCAGGTAGATGACACCAGATAGTGGAGACCAGGTAGGTGGCACCAGGTAGAGGTGATGGACATTTGACGACCAGGAAGCATGTTCGGTATGGCCCCGGCACTTCTATAAGACATTCAGCACAGAACACGCAACACCCCCCACAGCCAGATCCAGACCAGATCTGCCAACTTACCCAGAAGGCCTCTGTTTCCTGTGCACGATACCAGCACCGGCTCAGCTGCTTTGCCGCAGTCACTGCTGTGCCGGCCATCCCCGGTGGCGTACTCCTTCTTGCGGAAAGGACTGGTAAGTATCCTCCAAAAACTTTGCCTCCCCTCCTTGTGGTCTGCGGCCGGAGCCTCCGCAGCCCGCAGATCTTTCCGCGATGACGCCGCGCGCAACGAATAAGAATCGTCTTCACCGCGACTCCGCAGCCGGCCGTCGCAGGTATCGGCCTCCTTCCCGGCCTCCGCGGCACGGCGCAGTCTGAAGCTGAAACTCTTCCGTAGGGATGAGGAGAGGTTCTTCTTCTGCTCCGGTGTTCTGCCCCCAAATACGTTCCACCGCTGACTGCTAAAGATGGAGGAACCGCGCAGGAAGCCGGAGCTGCGGCTGAACTCCCTCCTGGAGAACGTTGCACCGTGACCGCCACTCAGCCGGTTTATATCCAAGACGCTCATACTGAGCGGCCGATGGGACCTGGTCCCATTACATGGGGGGCCGTCCTGGGCAAGGAAGCCTCCGGAAGGCTCACGCTTCCGCCCCGACCGCTGCTTCAGGAGGTCCAGAAGTCCCCCGAGGGAGGTTGGACCTCCAGTGTCGGCCTTGGTGCCGGGTACTCCGTTCCCCACCGAGCAGAGGCTTTTGGGTCTCTGTTTCTGATGCTTGGCGGCATGGACGGCGGCCTGGACGGCCCGGCTGACTGATTGCTCGGCTGCATTCCTCGTCGGCTGCGTGCACGGCTCCATGTTTTCCAAGGAACAAACATGCCTCAGCTCCGTGCTTCTGTACATGCTCATAGCGTGCTCCACCGAGGGCAAGGAGCATGATCCCGGCACCGCCGGAGGCTTCCCTGGACCTCCACAGACCAGCCGAGAGCCATGACAGGACGGGGAGGAGAAGGCAACGCTCGGAGCTGACACCAGACGACAGGGAGTGGAGACACGCCTCAGATTCTCTACACGGCTGCTGCCTGCATGTCCCAACACGTATGACAATAACATGTTCAGCAGGGAGAGGCCAGAGCGACGCAGAGTACTGAAACCATCCAAACCTATCACACAGCCTGGCACAGGGGACATTCACCAGGCAATGGACACCCCCCCCCCCACGAACCCAAG